AAAATCATTAAAACAAAATTAAAAAAAAATAGTAATAATAACAACAAGAAACATAGGCACAAGACTCAATCAGTAGCAAATGATGAGCAGACAAAGATTAATTCAGACAAGTCTTTTATTTTTTAATTACCTGAAAGAAAACATAAGAGTGTTCAAAAGATTTCTTCTTGTGATTTTTCCACCATTTAAAAAAAAAAATTAACAAAGTGTTTGATGAAGGAGTGGAAACAGAGAACACCACACTTTTCTCTCTCTACAATCCCATTTGGGGGTTTTAATTTCTCTCACTAGAATTGGGTTCAGCAGTTAGCAAGAAATCCGATTTTGCTGATGGATTTAGAGGTGAATAAATAAAATAAAAATTAAAATTAAATAAAGAGTTTCTTCATCTACAAATGGGAATTTTTTTTGGGGGGGTTTGTTTGGGAGTTGTGGCTTTTTTTGGATTCTTTTTAGAATTAAAGGTGGAGTCTTGAAGAAAACTTTCATATATGACAATAATCAGCATTGCTCATAATAATTGCTTTTCTTTAGAGTTTGCATAACAACCCCTTAATTATAGGATGTGTTGTATACACACCCCTCAATTACGAAATGTTTCAAATACGCCCCCATGTTTTCTGGTCAAATTTATAAAAGTGTAATTTTTGTGCAATTACAATTTTACCCCCCCACTTCTAGTCTATGAGAAATATATGTGCAATTTAGTACTTAGAAATATTTTAGTAAATAAGAAATACAAAAGTCACTCCCTCCTTCATTTTTTTCTAACATTACTCATTTTGCAAAAAGTACTTGGATGATTTCTTAAGCAATTGTTTAGCTTATTTTAATATTTTATTAATTTGATGATATCTTTTTTTAAGGTTATAATGGTAGATATTTTTTTAATTAAAATCTATTATAAAACCTAGTGAAGTTTGAATATGTTGGGGGTTTGACTTACATTGAGAGGTGTTTATTTTGATTTGATGTTTTATTTTAAAATACTTGGTTTAATGAAAGAAATTAGTTATCTGGTTCTAATGCGATTTGGTTTAGAATGGCAAATGGAATTCAGCTCAGACTACTTGTTGATGACAATTAAAGCTGCCACTGGACATTATACCGAAACTAGGAAGAAAATATGAGCAAAAAATAATTAATTTCAAATGAAAAATGAGGAAAAATAAAAGTAAAAAATGAGGCACATTTAAGCTTTCAGTCCTTACACAATATAGATAGCCAAGAGAGAGATAAAATGTTAGAAAAAAAGGCAAATGCGATAATAACTGTTGATAACGAGAAAGTTAACGATTGACATCAACATATTTAAACATAATGCAAATTGTAAGAGGGTATTTGGTACATTTCGTAATTGAAGGGTGTCTTTGCGACACACCACATAATTTCGGGTGCAAAGTGAATTTTACTATAAAAATAAAATAAAATAATGAGGAAAATAATAAAAAAAAATTACAAATTTCCGCGCCCGGTGACCCCACCCGGGGGTTAGGGCCTTTATGGGAATTTTAACATCTTTGACTAGCCAATGAGAGTATGCCAAGTGGATTGCAGAGAGTTTGACTGGAAAGAATAAAGGAATTAAAAGCAAGGGAAATTATTATTATTGATTGATTCAATAATTATGGAAAGCAATTTAAATTGGAGGCAATTAAATAATATTTTGGGTAATTAAATAATAAATAATATCCATATATTTAAGGGGTAATAAAACCATGGCACATTTGTCAGTTTACCCTCCAAAATCGTTAGTTACTTTTTTGGCCACTAATTTTTGCTTGATTTGCTTCCTTTTCTGCACTTATTTTGGGTTTAATTAGTAGTTGGTCTTTGTTAGAGCCAAGCAAAAATCTCATTAATCCACGTGCCATAGTTTATTATTTAGAATTGCATTATATATAGGGCTGACAATCGGGTCATGTGAGCTGAGCTTGGATTGACTCAACTTCACATCTCATTGGGCCGCGTTAACATGGGCTCAAACTCGGCTCATGTATTATTTCGGGTTTCGAGTTTAGAGTTTATATCAGGCCTTGCATTGTAATTAGCAAAAAAAAAAAAAAGAGTGATAAACAAGATTTACCTCTATTGAACTCAATTCAAAGAAACCGTAAACAATTTTTGCACGTTATTGGAAAAACTTTAAAACAAGACTAAAAAAAATTTACAAAAAGAATAAAAAAATATCAGTATCTCTTATTATTGGAAAAGTTTTATATTTTCAAATATAGGTAATAAATTTCAGCGATGGGGTTCGAATGGATTGTTGCATATTAGATTCATATTTTACTTATTGTCGTCAGCACTATTTAATTAAAAAAACTATAAATTAATAGGAAACTTAGATTAAAAGCAAAACATTATTAGCCGTCTAAGTGTCGAGACTAGGTGTGCAAATGGACAAAGAATAGAACCATGTTTCGTCGACTTTTATTTCACTCCATTTATTTGGAAGCATTTGCCTCCTTATACAAATGTATTAATTAATAATTAATCCACAAGATTTATTTGCTTTACCATAAAATGTCATTCTTATGTTTGTCACTTTGTGACGTGGCATCGTGTGGGAGTATAGTTTGTGGGGTCTACGAGTTATTGAGGATTGATGTGAATAACAATATCATCAATGTTTTGAAAACTGGACCGGATTGTCCGATCGAACCGCGAACTGGCTGGTCATCCAATCAGGTCCTATGCGTAAACTCGGAAATGCCTAAAATTTGGGTCAAATATGAGAACTGGGAAAATCTTAGCTGAATCCACAAAATCGGAATTGTCCAAAAAACCATGTTTTGTCAAAAAAGATCGAAAACAGACAAATTAATAGATGAAAATCGATCTTCTTCTTGATTTGGATTGTTGCAAATAAGGGTGGAAATTGAAACGAAATTTTCGATTTTCGAAATTTTCCAACCGCGGCCCACTTAATTGTCCGGTCCGATTTTAAAAATATTGAATATCATAATAATAGGATTTGATTCTTCCGATGAACACAATTGATGAGGTGGGGTCCCTTTTGAGCGGTCGACTGCTCGTCAGGGGACTCCGACCGATCTACAAAAGAATAGCTCGAAGACGTCAAAATTAGCACTCCAACGGTCAAGTCACTGGTGTCGAATATTGTTTTTCGAAAGATGTATTATTTTAGTGAGATAAGGGAATGCGTGAGTTGGTGAACAAAAATATATCTCTCTATAGAAGGGGGTGAGTCAATTTTTATGCTTACCTTCATCGATCCACAAGAGTTCCTCAAAAATCGGGCCGAGAGCCACGTCGTCTCACCATTTCCCGAGCGTTCATTATTATTCGAGCTGATCATTTATGGGCCATGTTCGTTAGGCGAGGCTAGCTAGTACAATGGTATGAACTTATCCGATTTTCTAGCTTACGTCGGTCATTAAATGGTAGAGTCGGGTGCATTAAATGCTACTGACCGGTTGTCAGCGCCGCTTGTTAGAGCAATAAATGCGCTTGCTACTTAATCGGGCTTCCAACTCGGCACAACCGTCCGAGTACAGCACGCTCGGCAACTAGTCGACATGTTTCCTATCGAGGCCCACTCGGCTAAGGTGCTCGTCTCTCGGAGTTTTGAATTTTGATAACCTTGTTGGGCTACCATAACTTGGGCCCTGTACCTTATTGGGCCTTTTTTAATAAAGTAGTTTAGGTCCGTATTATTTTGGTTTCGATTCGACCCGACCCGAACTCGAACCCGAACCCGATATCCACTTACCACATTAAATCGGTCCAGCCCGCGAAAGTTCCGGCATTTTCTCGTCTCTTCAAAATGAAAAATTGCAGCAAGAGACCCAGGGCCGAGACCGCCGCTTCGCCGCCGGAAACCGGCGGCGCGCCACCGCTGGAAGGTTTTCCTCTCCCGGACACAATAATTCTCAGCGAGATTTTCAAAAGGCTGGAGTTGGAGTCACTTTGCACCGTCGCCTGCGTTTGCCGCAGCCTCCGTTCAATTGTTTCTCAATCTCTTTCAACTCTCGCATCTCTCGATATTTCTGTAAGCTTCTGTTTTAATTTTATGAACTATTTATCCGCTTAATTGCGTACTTACGGTTAATGGTGGTTCCTTTTTAGGGATTTAATCGGATTTAATTTTAGGCATTTTCACCCAACGGAGAACTCGTTCGTCGCATTGTTCCCAGATTGAGAGGGGTGAAGAGCGTTACGATTGATTGTCTGCACTTGAATGATAGCTCCGTCATCAGCAGCATTCTTCGTCCGCCATTGCAGGAGCTGAATTTGCTCAATTGTGCGTCGCTGTCGTATCAGATTCTCGCCTCAATTGGAGACAAGTGCCCTAATTTAAGGTGCAACTTTTTTGTACTTCAGTAATCTTGGTGTAGATTTACATTTCACTGAAAAAATTAGTTAGTTTCCATAGTTTTTAGGGTTTCAGATTGATAATATGTACTTGAAGGATAACTGAAAATGCGGTCTCTTTATCAGGATTCTTGTCGTGGAATTTGCAGGGAAGAACTCACCCGATTTTTTTAGGAGAAACCTCATCGAAATGCTGAAAAATCTCATCTATTTAGAGGTACAAAAAAAAAAAAACAACAATGTTTGCTACTGTTACTTTGATTGCTCTTATGAAACGATATCTCACCAACAAAAACGTAATTTTGCAGCATCTATCCATAAAAATCCGCGGAACAGAAGTCGATGCGTACGATTTATCCAGCATCGATCTTTTCCTCCCCAAAGCTTTGAAATCTCTTAAGTTGCAGCCTTTGGACGAACAAGATGCTACTCATTTTATCAAGAAATTAAGAGATGAAAGAGAGATTCCGATGAATTTATCGAATTCTAGCTTTGGTGTTTTTACATTAGTCCGTCTCTCCCTTGTCTTGGATGTTATAACCGATAGGCTTATGAACTCAATCACGAGCTCGCTTCCTCTATTGGTTGACCTAGACCTCGAAGACAGGCCATGTTTCGAGCCAAAGCTCCCTCTCGATTTAACCAACAACGGCCTACAGTCCTTAATCTCCTGCCGCCACCTCACCCACCTCTCGATTGTGAGAAGTAGACTCAACTCCCCCGTTTCTTTCAAGAGAGTCAACGATATGGGAATATTCCTTCTCGCTGAGAGCTGCATAGATCTAGAATCAATAAAACTTGGTGGGTTCTCCAAAGTCACCGATGCTGGATTTTCGTCACTCCACCACTCGTCTCACAAGCTCAAGAAACTGGAAATCCGAAACGCCCCGTCACTGTCTGACATGGCGTTTCACGAAATAACCGGTGTCGTCGAGTTGAAATTGCAATCTTGCCCTCTCGTAACCAGCGAGTCTATATCCGAACTCGCCTCGTCCAGTACATTGGAATTGCTCGACACAAACGGATGCAGGAGCATAGCTGACCACTGCATCGAATACATATCGTGTGTAAGTACGCTGACATCACTTAACCTAGGTGGGGCCGATATTACAGACAGTGGCCTCGATATTCTGAGTAGAGCCGATTTACCTTTGACTCATTTGTCCCTCAGAGGATGCACTAGAGTGAACGATAGAGGAATTATCTGCTTATTCAACGGCGAGTTAAAAATCAAAAAGACGTTATTATCCCTAGATATCGGCTACATGCCTGGAATATCGGATAGAGCGATTCGTGCGATTGTTTCGAGCTGTGATGCGATTAGTGAGCTGTGCATGAGGTATTGCTTTTACGTGAGTGACAATTCTCTTAGAATGTTAGCGAAAAGTGACTGTAAACTTCGAAAACTTGATGTTTATCATTGTGTTGGATTATCGGATGGGATGGTGGAGGTAATGGAGGGGGGTTTTTTCCGGGGGTTGAGATGGTTTGGGGCTGGCGGTACTTTGGCGGAGAAGGGCGGCTTTGGTAGGGTTTGCGAGAGGCGGCCTTGGCTTACCGTTTGTTTCGAAGGTTGTGAAATCGGGTGTCACGATGGTTGGCAATTTCATAAGTATAACGATGGCTATTAAAAAAATATGTTCTTTTTTCCAAATTAGGTACAACGTCAATGTATCAAAATATTATTGGGTCAATGTAAATTTGATGAATTTTGTTATGCAGATCAATCTTTACTATTATTGTTTTGATTAACCCAAATAAGACATTAGTAAATAATAATAATAAATTGTTACGAAAATAAACAATTGTTGCTTCTTAAATCCACGTGTATAAATAAGTCAAATAACACACACCTACATGAAAATTTACATTTATTCACAGCTGGTGGTGAATTCTTTACGTATGAACAAATAGGAGAGAGACACGAAAAGGATGCAAAAAAAAAAAAAATCATCAATAGAGTTCGAAACAAATCACAAACCTCTCTACACACGTGCGTAATTATAAACGTATATCTTCAAATGCTGCTTTGACTAAAAGTCGCGGTAGTCTGAGAAGAAGGTGCAAAAGTAAAACTCGTGTTCACCAAAGTGTTGGAACCAGAGGAGTCGTAATTTGAGGATGTAGTAAGATCAATATCTTGCTCCGGTTTGGGATTGCTTCTATTCTTCAAGTCCATTATATCCGAAATCAAACCCGGTTTGGTTACCGTAATTTCATCGGCATCTTTCTTACCAATAAGCATTTGGACAACATTCGACATAGTGGGCCGAAGCTTCGGTGAGTCTTGAGTGCATAAAAGACCGATCTTTAGGAATCTGCAAGCCTCGACCGGATCGAATTCTCCGTCTAGTGACGTGTCCACCAGTGCCACCAACTCGTTTTTCTCGTAAAGTTTCCACGCCTGCAAGAGAAAGAAAAAAAAAACAATCGGATTTTGTTGGGGTCTGTTTGGTTCATGGATTTCGCAATGAAGAAAAATGTATTTCTTTGTTTAAGTCGCAAAATATTTTCCTTGATCCAAACAAGGCCTTAGTGTCTAAAACATATACGGTAAATTGAAATGATACAACCTCAAAAATTTGACTGCATGATAAAACATACCCTTTCAAGAATGAATTGTTCATCGACGGGTAATTTTCTATTGGTATTGCATCTCCCACTGACTATTTCGATAAGAAGAACACCGAAACTGTAGATATCCGCTCTGCGTGTAAGTTGGCCTCTTATTGCATATTCCGGTGCCAAATAACCTCTGCCACAACAATTAAATAATATTCACAATTAGGGGTGGAAATCAGACATATCGGATCAGAATAAAACACTTTAGAAAAAACAATCAAATAATATTCACAATTAGGGATGGAAATCAGATAGATCCGATCAGAATAAAGCACTTTCGGAGAAAAAATCGATCCAAAAATCAGAAAAACCGGAGATCCGAAATTGGAATGATGAAACTCGTTCCGAAATCAGAAATTTTCGGATTGGAATCGGCGGATTTCGGAAAATTCAAATTGTTTAGTTACCTAAAATATAAAATGCATAATAATATTGATTTTATAAGTGTAATTTCGAGAAAATATAAATTGGAATTTTAAATAAAAGGAAATCAAAATCTCATAAAAAAATCGGAATCGGATTTTCCGAATCCGGGATGAAACAAAATATTGTTCCAAAATTGAAAAAAAATGGATCAGAATTGGCGGAAATCGGAAATTAATCGGAAATCCCGATCTAATTTCCACCCCTATCCACAATAAAAAAGATGAAGGATGAAATACATGCTTCGAATAGTTGCTACAGTATTTCAAAACTTACATGGTTCCAGCCACCCGCGTACTGACATGTGTCACGGTGGAAGGGATGAGCTTGGCAAGGCCAAAATCGGAAATTTTCGGGTTCAAATCTTCGTCGAGAAGAATATTGCTCGCTTTTATGTCCCTATGGATAATATGTGGCGTCACTTCCTCATGAAGGAAGGCAAGCCCCTTTGCAACTCCAATGCAAATTTTAACCCTCGTTTTCCAGTTAAAGTGGATGCTTTTACGACTGCCACCTGACAAACAAATATTAAATCATTAACATAACCCCAAATTGAAAATGTGCCATCATAGTCGAGTGGAAGTCTTTTAAAGCCCATTTCAGATGAGCAGATTAACTACTGTATATCAAGGAAAAGTAAATTTATACCAATTAGTGATTCGGCTAGGCTGTTATTCTCGAGGTAGTTGTAGATTAGGATCCGGTGGTTGCCTTCCGCACAACAACCGTATAGCTTCACTAGGTTTTCATGCTTTATATCCGAAATCACTTGAATCTCAGTCAAGAACTCTTTTACGCCTTGTCTTGATTCAGAAGAGAGAACTTTAATTGCTGCCATAGGTCCGTTCCTAAGTTTCCCCTGTTTATAGAAAAAAAAAAAAACAAAATCGTTCAGAATACACGTGTAGTCAGCTCCAAACTGCTAAGTTTTCTTACCTTGAAAACAGAACCAAATCCTCCCTCTCCAATTTTATTAGCTGGACTGAAATCATTTGTAGCTTTTCTCAGCTCCTTGTACGAGAAAAGATTAATACGGATTTCCGAGAGCTCTGTGTGCAAACCAGTTTAATGCGAAAAGAAACAAGTTATAATGGCTTAGGCACATGAAAAATTCACTTAAAAGAGAGTGAAATCATCGTTGAATTAAATATTGGGAAGTGAATTTACAAGTTGAAGCTTTCAAATTTACCATCATCAAACTCGGGATCGTGGGTCCCTGGATCTAATCTTCTACTACGTGAGCAAGGAAAACAAGAGGACATATCTGTAGGATTTAATCGGTGACTTCCTCAACTATAGCTGCAGAACAGATTCGTTTAAATGAATCGAATCGTACACCTGCCATAGCAAAAAGAATAGATCATAAACATACATAATAGGTCATTGCAGATAAAAGGCTTCGTAAAAATCGATTAATGTAAGCTTGAAACCGAAAAAGGTCAAACAAAATGGTGTGGATCATCCACAACTAGTTAGTCAGAATCCCAGTTCGAGTTTACCATCAGAGACATGAAAAGCAGAGGGATCATATAAAAGAAAGTCAAAAAAGATTGGTTATTTCTCAAACAGGCATATAAACAAACACCTTGGAAGCAAGATTACAGTTTCGCCAAAACAGAGTCCAACCGGAGCATTACATCATCATTTCAGCAAATAACGATACATAAACATTCGATCAACCCAATTTCCAGTCTCCAGGAATCGAAAACGAAAATCAAAAGCAAAATAATCAGTGATATTTTGCAGAAATTAAAAGAAACCCATATGATATGAGGAGAGAGAAATACCTCAACTTTACACCGAGAAAACCAGGCGACGAAAATCTCGAGAGAATTGAGAAGAGCAACAGCGATTCCTTCAGACAAGGCGAATCACGCGCCGCTGGTAGCAGCCCAAAAGTCTACAAAAAAGTCAATCAAGAAATGGGTAGAATCTCCCAAAACTCTTTGCAACTAAATATGGTGGGTTCAAATTTAACAGCCAATGGAGAAATTACAGTTTTCACCTCTCAAGTTTGCAGAGATTTCATATTGGTCCCTCGTGTTTATAAAAAACACATTTTGACCCTCATGTTTCAATAATTTAATACTTTTGGTCATATCCGTTATTTTACCGTTAGTCCGTTAGTTAAGCTCACACACTTGACTAGGTTAGTTTTAACAAAAAATTGACGAAAATGGTTGAAAATATTGAATTTTTGAAACATAACAAATCAAATGTAAAATTAATGCAAACTTAAGGGATGAAAACTGTATTTTTCCGATAACTAATTCAACATTTTTATATGCAGCGAAGGTAATTTCTACAGTCAAGAATGGCCTAACATATTATAATATCATAAAAAAATAAACAAAAAAAATCTTTCAAGTAGTAAACAAAATTAATTAGCCAATTAATAATTAATCCAATTTAATTAAATTTAATATAAATAATTCGGAAAAAGGAAAAATAGTTATGGTTAGCTCAGAAGCAAGTGGGGTGGTTTGTTGTCGATGTCTATTTAAAGCGATGGCCCAGCCCGGCCCGGCCCGAACGATTCCGCCTAACAGATAAATTTCAAAAGATCTGAACTCAGATGAATAATATCGGGCTCTCCGGCGCCGCCATGACAGGTGTCGCATCGAAGGTCGCCGTAATTGGCAGCGGGAGTGAGCACCATCTTCTTTCAATTTTCAGATTCATGTACGTATTAACAGCGATCGAGAGTTGATCCGCCATTTTTTTTTGATATTTCGAAGCTTTGTTCCAGTTTCAGGAGCGGTGTGCGCGTCGATTCTGGCGAAGAACGGAGTATCAGTCACCATTTTCGAGTCCGCCAGAGGTCCCGGCGGCCGCATGTCCCAGCGAAGGTTTTTTTTTTTTTTTTTTAATGTCCTCCTATTTTTTTGTAATTACAGTTATTTATCAATGTGTTCGTTGAATTGCCGCAGAGAAAATTCTGAAGATGGTAGAGAGCTGGTGTTCGACCACGGTGCACCGTATTTCTCTGTGAACCCTAGCAATTTAGAAGTGCAGAATCTAGTTACTGATTGGGAATCAAGAGGTCTTGTCGCTGAATGGAAAGAGAAGTTCGGTTCTTTCGATTTTCGATCCAAGATGTTTGCCACCATTGATGAGGTTCGAGGTTTTTATTTATTTATTTATTTTTATTTTTTTGTTATTGTTGACCGTGGTTACCAATTATAATCTTCAGAAATATATCCATCAATGAGTTTGCCATCTAATTGAAATGCTGAAATACGATTACGAAAAAAATCTGGAGTTGCGTTTCGATTGAACGATGTATATTTGAATTCATTGTTATCGATTTTGAATCCACAATCTCAAATCCTTCGATTCAAATGCAACCTCGACGTACGATAGTGAATTACAGAACTATTTTATTCGATATTCCGGGGAGTCTGTACTTAACTGTGATTTGGTTTAAATTAAATCAGGAAGGATCAAATAAGAAATATGTTGGTGTCCCGGGAATGAACTCTATCTGCAGAGCATTATGCAGTGAGCCTGGTAGGTAATTCATGGTCATAGTTTCGGTTTTTTCTGAGTATAATTTGCTGAATATATAGTTCTCTCTGCTAGGAGTGGAGAGCAGATTTGGGGTCGGTATCGGGAAATTAGATTGGTTAGAGGATGACGATTCTTGGTCCTTAACAAATATGGATGGAGAAAATGTTGGTCATTTTAATGGAGTGGTGACATCAGATAAAAGCACGTTTTCGTCTCGGTTTACTCATGTCACAGGAAAACCACCACCTATTGGTATAAACGAAGTCTTTTTTTACTTCAAATTCCTCATTAGCTAATTCTTCGAATATAAGTCTCCGACAACTCTTGACGATAAGTTCCTCGTTAGTTAATTACATTGCTTGTTCTGTGTAGACCTGAATTCGGTTTCCGAAATGGCCTTGCAAATGAAAGAAATTCCAGCTTCGCCACGCTTTGCTCTTATGTTGGCATTTGAACAGCCCCTTTCCTCGGTAAGTGTGTGCACGAGATGAAAGAGCTTGAATTATATATTCGAGCTACTTCAAAACTAGACGAGGTTTTCCTATTCGAACAGTTCATTATTCTCTCTCTCTCTCTCTTGTGGTTCAGATTCCTACAAAAGGCTTATCTTTCAAGAACTCGGAAATTCTAAGCTGGGCTTTTTGTGACAGCAGCAAACCAGGCCGTTCAACCACTAGGTTAGTGTAGTACTAACAATGTGATATTCGATCTTTTTTTAAAATGCAAATTAATTAATGTCACCCCCCACCCCCCTCGTTCTTGTGTAGTGAGCGGTGGGTGCTGCATTCGACAGCAGAATATGCACAGCTTATAATCTCTCAAATGGGATTGCAAAAGCTTACCGGTGCAGTACTTGCAAAAGTAGCAGATGAACTGTTTCGAGAATTCGAGAGCACTGGGCTCGATATCTCACAGCCGTTTTTCAAGAAAGCTCATAGATGGTCAGCTTCAACTATTTGCTAATTTTTTTATTTTTTTTTGAATAAAAATGTAAGTCGGGAATTCGATTTTCAGGGGGGGTGCTTTCCCAGCTACAAGCGTTGCCGGAGACGAGAAATGCTTGTGGATCGGAAAGAGACGACTGGCAATTTGCGGGGACTTTTGTGTCATGCCAAATGTTGAAGGTGCCATGTCTAGTGCAATTGCTGCTTCTGCAAAGTTTGTTAAAGTGCTCAGTACCTTGTAATTTATTAAACCAACTCCAAGATTTGTGTGATCATTCTTGTGGATTATATATATATATATATATATACACACACACTGACACACACACACACACACAGGCATGAGGCTCAAATCGGAACAGCATTTTCTGATTCCAATCAGAAAATTTTCGTGCTATGAAACAATTTGATCATTCCGATTTTTTTGTTTTGCATAAGGGAAAAATTATCGAATTTGAAACTATGTACTAGTGTTTTTTCAGTTCAAATACGATTTTTAATTTAAAAAAGAAAATCTTAAAAAATAGTTTTTTTTCAATAAAATATATATATATATATATATAATAACAATATTATAATTTGTGTATATCATTATATATAAATATAAATACTTATTTTCTGGATATTGTCGAATTTCATTCAAAAAATTTATGATTTTTGAATCTAAACACTTAATAAGAAACTAATAAAGTAATAATAATGTAATAATTTAATATGCTACAATTAATTTAAAAATAAATAAAAAATGAAAAATAGGAAAGATATATGTTAACAACCAATGGTACACTTCCAAGCTGGCCCACATTAGGATATTGAAAATCAGGAGCTTGTGCACCAACCATAATTACTTGCTTCAATTCGATAATGTTCGCAAACACCATATCCAGAATCAAGCCATAGAATGGGCGCCACGTGTCAAAATGAAAATCGCCAATTTCTGATTATTTATTTATTTAGTTATATGGCTCCACTTTTAAGGCAAACAAACACACACAGAGAGTAGAGAGAGATCAAACACACACACACACAGTAGAAGCAATAAATGGCAACCACAATCATGAGTTCCCTGAGTCTGAAACCCTCCGCCTTCACCGTGGAGAAGTCCGCCGTGAGGGGGCTGCCGTCGCTGAACAGAACCACCACTCTTAGGGTTCAGGCCAGTGGCATCAAGAAGATCAAGACCGACACTCCTTATGGTAATTAATTACTTCTTTTTTTATCCATCACTAATTCTCTACTTATCAGTTAATTATGAATATATATATTGATTTTAATATCTATTTTTAGAGGTTTAGAGGTTTTAATTGCAAATACAGAAGATAATTAATCTAATATTGTTATTCATAGTTTATTGCAGTTAGCACCCATATGTTATATCGAATTGCTAAAAACAACCCTATGTTATTCTATTCGCAAAAGAAATCCCTATGAATTAACTTTCTTTAGCAATTAGTATCATGTTTAGGGGTTGTGTGCTAAACTAAACCCCTGATGTATCGCCAAATTATGAAAAAAAATCCCTCTTGTTTGGGTAATTACAGCCACCCCTCCTTTTAAATATTTTTGCTTAAAATTTATGTAATTCGGTTATTTACCGAACCAAATCGTATATTGAGTTCGGTAAACGGCATTAAATGTTGGCGTACCAAAATTTCGATTCGGTTTTACTGAATTAACATTCCTAAATTTACCTCTGGAAGGGTTTTTTCGTAAAATAATACATAGTTGAGGGGTGGCTGTAATTACCCAAACATGAGGAGTTTTTCGTAATTTGACCATAACTCATATATTTTTAGAATTGGAAGTTCTAATTGCAAATATAGAAAAGATAATTAATGTAATATTGTTATTACATAGTTTATTGCAATTAGTATCCCTAGTGTTATATCGAATTGCTAAAAACAACCTGATGTTATTTTATTCGCAAAAAAATCCCTACAATTCAACTTTCTTAGCAATTAGTATCATGTTTAGGGGGCCGTGTGCTAAAAAAAAATAATCAAAGAGGGGTTTTTTTGCCAATAAAAAAATACGGGCTTAGTCTTTTAGCAATTTGACATAACACAAGAGATTCAAGTGCAATAAACCCTTGTAATTTTATTGTGACCGATAATATAGAACAAAAACAAAATCTCCGACGAGACAGTTAATTTGAATTGGATGAAATATTATATAATTAAAATTATAATTATTAGTAATTAGTATTATTTTATTGATTATTTATTTCGATTTTGAAACTTTGTACAGGACTTGGTGGAGGTATGGACTTGAGGGATGGTAAAGATGCATCTGGCAGGAAGCCAACAGTACGTTTATGCCCTTAATCAACTTACATTATAATAAATAAATAAATAAAATAATTAAAATTTTCGTATTTAAAAATGCATAATAACAAATTCATCGAGCTCGATAATTAAATGAATTTCACTAATTCGTAAATATACTTTGATTGTGATTTTTCAGGGAAAGGGTGTTTACCAGTACGTTGACAAATACGGTGCTAATGTCGATGGATACAGGTGACATTTAGGGCCCGTTTGGTTAAACTTGTTTTAAACAATTCATAAGTTTTTACATCTGATAAACTGTTTTAAGAGTTGATAAGCTGTTACATCTTATTTTTAGAATTAATTTTGAAAGTGTTTGGATAATGATCTTATAAGAAAGGTGTGATAGAGGTACTTTTAGAAGAAACAACTTACTTTTTTTTGAATTTTAAAAATTTTTTTAGAAAAAAAATACCAAATACTTTAGAAGAGCTTATAAGCTCTTTTTAACAGCTTACAAGTTTAATTCTTCGAAAAATCTGTTAAGCTCTTGTCAACAGCTCTAAATTCGAAAAGTCTAATGCTATATATATATTTGTATTTATCAACGACAGCCCCATCTACAACAGAGACGAGTGGGCACCAACCGGTGATGTTTACGTCGGAGGTATGTTTCGGATTTTTTCCGTTTACGTATTTCTCTTCTCGTAATATCTTTTTCGTTATTATAAAAAAAAAAATCATTAAATTAAATTTGATGAAATTGATTATGAATGGAAAATGCAGGCACAACAGGGTTGGCCATATGGGCAGTCACACTTGTTGGTATTCTTGCTGGAGGTGCACTTCTTGTTTACAACACAAGTGCTTTGGCTCAGTAAACAAATTAATTATGTTGTAATTTGTTTTTAATTAGAAACATATGTGTATTGATACTTTGTGGATTTTTACAGCCAATTTGTATAATCTAAATACTTTTTTATATATATTGTGGTTGTGTATTAAAATCTGTCGAGTTTTCATGAATCATACGTTAGTAGTGCCAAATACTCTCGATATTGTAAGGAGATGAAGAAAAAATTGAGAAAATAATAAATGTACCATTGAAACTCTAAAAAAATAGATAATATGAAATAAAAGAAATGCTCTAAAGCGACAGTTAATTTGAAGCTGACGCGCAGGGCAGGCGATTATACAAGTAGCATATGTAACTTATGTTTAGCATATGTGTATTTAACTATTTATGACTGTACTTTTACTTAGTATATGCATTTCGTATTGCAATATTTATATACCTTGTATTCAATTTTGCTCGCTTTTGTTGTATTTATATTTTATAAATTCGAATTTAGAAAGAATAACGTATATCATGGTTTCGGGTACATTTACTCGAAATTCGATGAGTTGTCAACATACCCAAAACTCAATTGTGTACATTTTATAATTGTTAGCTACCAAATAAATCATACCTCAGGGGAGAAATGTGTAATTGTATAAATATGAACAGTCTAGCTGTAATTATATATAACTCTGAGGAGGTAGGCATAATTTATCTTAAATTTAGGGTGAAATAAAATAGAGGGTCTATCAATTTTCTTCATGGGCTTCAGGAGATGATAATGGGCCCACAAATACGTGTTGGTTCAAGAAGCATTATATTGAATCAAAACAATTTGGCCCGGCAATTAAGATTTTTTTATATTCATTTTACATTATTATTATAATTATTATTATTATTATTATTATTATTATTATTATTATTATTATTATACAATAACCATTATTGGGTGAATCTAGGAAACTTGTTCCAGTATATAACGAATGAACTAACAAACAACGATAAAGTCATATTTCGTAAATATTGCACTCTTGCAATAGTTTGCAAATTGCACGAGAAATGTAAACTATAAAAGACAAAACTCGAGTTTTTGTTTTTTAATATATTAACTTTATGCAATATATTCATTTATCATAACATATGTGATATTTATTAATTTTTTAATATAATGAAATGCTACATTAAATATAATAATAATATTTGTTTTTTTTTCTATTTCATTTTTGTCAAAAGCGCCTAGAAATACTAAAAGTTGTTATTTTGATATTTTGTATTTTGTATTTTCTATTAAATACTAATTACCTCCACGATCCGTCCGGAACCATCCACTCACAAAAAATCCCCCCGTTTAGGAGCCACGTCAGCAAGTTTTGACCCTCTGTGAAACGTGTCGTCTCCTTATTGGCTTGAATAAGGACCCACTGTACTTTGTTGCTATTTATTGTTTCTATGCACACTACCACACTAACTTCACAACTGACTAACACTATTCACAAGGTATCTCCAGCCACAAAACACTCCCCATTTTTCTCTTTCATCTCTCTCTCTCTCTCTACATCCAAATATCGTGTTTGATTTTGATTTTGATTTTTTTATATATATTTTCATGGAGATGGTGTAGTGCGTTTTTTCTCTGTATTTTCTGAGATTTTTTGGGAGTTTTTTCGGTGATTTTTTGATATTGATAGTATATAAATTGTTGCATGGTCGGTGGAGATGGCGTCGGCATGCGTAAACAACATCGGAATCTCGCCGGAAAGTTTTCTCGACTGTACTCCGGTGAAATGTCCGTCGTACGGGTGGCTGAGTCCGAGAATTTCATTCAGCCGCGAGTTGCCGGACGAGGAGGCGGCGTCGAATATTAAGCCGTCGGCGAAGAATCAAGCCAGATCGGACAATGCGGAATCCGAGAAGCCGAAAGGTTCAGATCCAGTAATCTCCGGCAAAGATTTCGTCGATTTCGAGTTCCACCTCGAAGATCCGGTGAAAATGCTCGCCGCCGATGAGCTATTCTCCGACGGAAAGCTCGTGCCGCTACACCTCTCCACGATCCGGCAGTCGATGACGTCAGCTCCGGAGTCGTCCGACGTCAGATCGGCCGACGACTCGCCGTATTTCCGCCAGAGGAAGCAGTTCTCCTCCACGGACACGTACTTGTTCTCACCCAAGGCGCCGACGTGCTCGAGCCGGTGGAAGGGGCTTCTCGGCTTGAAGAAGCTGTACGGCGGCGCGAAGCAAGACGAGGCGGACAAAACGGCGTCGTCTTCATCATCATCATCTCATCACAACAGCAGCCACAACAAAACCGCCGCCGCCAGAAGCCTGAAGCACCTCCTCCACCGCGGATCTAAATCAGCATTAAATGCATCGGTCGATTCATCTCTAAATCTCCCATTGCTCAAGGAACCAACCGACAACGAGTCGTTGTCGGTTTCCTCCCGTCTCTCTCTCTCCTCCTCCTCCTCGGGGCACGAGTACGACGAACTCCCCCGCCTCTCACTCGATTCCGATAAGCCAACCAGTACCAATATTCCTCGCCTCCAAATCGCCAGCAACCTATCCAAAGTCCGAGTCGCCAAGCACAGGGCGGCGCCGCCGTCGTCGGAGAATCCGACGGCGGCGTCCACTAGAGTCGGCCGGAGTCCGATGCGGAGAGCTCCGGAATCTGCGGTTCCGGCGCGTGACGTGTCAGTCGATAGTCCGCGGATGAACTCGTCGGGGAAAGTGGTGTTTCACAGCCTGGAGAGAAGTTCGAGCAGCCCTAGCACCTTCAATGGTGGGCCCAGGCATAAGCATGGCGGAGTGGAGAGATCGTACTCGGCGAATGTACGCATCTCTACGGTTCTCAACGTTCCGGTTTGTTCAATTCGAGGCTCGTCAAAATCTGGTGCGTTCGGTTTCCCTCTCTTTTCTTCCTCTTCGCAACAGAAGAAAGACATTAATCCAAACAGATCACGTCAACACCATCAAATTAGCAAGAACCGTACAGATCGAACTTGAGAGAGATTTAAATTTTAATTAGCATGGATTTGGTGGAGTTGAAAACCCTAATTAAATGCCTCAATTATTTTAATTACAAAGAGGTGTCAAAGGGTTTTTGCCTATCTGTTTTTTGCTATGAGTATTCAAACAAGTGTGTACTTTTTTACATTGATGATGGGGTTGTGGATTTTAGTGAGAGCATGTGACCATGTTTTCTTTTAGTTGCCCACTGTGCTATTGGCTTTCTTGCACTTACTTTTATTATGCTTCAGTATAGCTTTTGTCGGGTCATACCAATCACATGCATTTTGTATTATTAATTTTACCATACGGTTCTTTTTAGGGTAGGGGCGGTAAACGAGTTCAGCCGATTCGTGAGCTCGATGAGCCGGCTCGAAAAGCTCGAACTTAAGTTTATCGAGCTCGAACTTTTTTTTCAGTTGTTCGTGAGCTCACGAGTCTTTTTTTTTTATATTATGATTTTTTATTTAAATAATATATATTAATATTATTTTGTAATTTTTTTATTATAATTTAAGTAACTTTTTATAATAATAGCAATAATTAAAAAAAACACCCAAAATGAGATTGGGCTCAAACTCGACAAAATAGACGAGTTGGGCTCGGTAACACCTCTATTTTAGAGCACACTACCTATATATATATATATATATATATATAAAATAAATTTTTTGGATGTAATTTGATAATAAAAATGATACTTATATTGTTTTAATATAATTAGAGTAGACAAAGGGGTGTGATTCATTCAATAGAACCTTATTTATATTTTTAAATGTGACATGATTGAGTAATGCATTAATTTCTTGCATTGAAATGATTGAGCAGCGGTATTAAATCTGATGGATCAATGCTCGACTCTTTAATTTATCGACACCATTTAATTCTACTTTAGATGTTGTTGTTGCGTAAATATTAAAAAATTCAATAAATGTGTACAAATAATATAGTAGTATATACTAATATATTCTTGTTATTAATTAATTTTCAATTAAGTAATTAAGACTGATATATTGCATGCATGAACTATGTTTCATGATTGTGAGTTTGTGACAAATTAGTTACATATCTATGACCGTGTGATTGTGTAGACGGATGGATGATTTGATTGTGCTACAGCTACACTATTGAAAAACAAGAACAAATTAAATAAGGCCTTTTAACACCACCACCACCCCCCACCCCCACCCCACCCCACCCCCACACCCATATTTAATACATTATGTCGGCCTTGGCGAGACAAATGTTAAGCAAAATTTAATGTGGTAAATAAAAGTAACTCGAATGGTGGTGCTTGCACATAAAAATTTATTGAACCCAAATAGTTTTCCAACATAATTTTCAATTTTCTTTTTTGCCAAACTATCTTTAGTACTCCTAACTTATGGAGATAACAGATAAGTTTATTAGAATGAGAAATAATAATAATGAAAAAAAGGCATTTTAGTAGTCTAAGGACATTTTTTTTTCTTCTAAAATTCATACATTTATTTGTTTTATATTTGGGTGCCGAAACAATAAGTAATAGATAATATGAAACGAATAAAGTAAATTTGTAGTACAACTATTTACACTAAGGATTAAAACCGGATGCATTTAAAAATATTTGAAAAACTGAAATGATTTGTGCAGGCCAAAATTAAACATTCAGGCACATTTTTTACCATTCTTCAAAAAACAAAAAGTAAAAAAACTCAAAACTCTCTCAACCTTTCGATTTTCTTTCGCAAAGCCCGTGCAAATCGTCAACAGATCGGAGGTAATTTTTACGTTTTTACGATCCTCTTGTTATGTAGATTACGAATCCGGAAAAAAAAAACGAAAAAAATCACACGTTGGGCCTGCTCGTGTGAATTTACACGAGCGCATCCACTGTGCTCGTGTAAATCCACACGAGCAGGCATTTATTATTTGTTTTTTTTTTAATTGCTCGTGTAAAAACACCCGAGCGGTTGCAAAGTGCTCGTGTGATTTCACCCGAACGCTTTTCAACCGCTCGTGTGTTTTTACACGAGCAGATTAATTTTTTTTTTTTTTTTTTTTGATTTATAAGATGCTCGTGCAAAAACATGCGAGCATTTCAACAGTCCTCGTGTGAAATCAGATGAGCACTGTTGAAATGCTCGCATGTTTTTGCACGAGCACAACAATTTAATTTTTTTTTTTTTTATTGGGTAGGAATAGTACAAACAGGTAAATAGTTA